AATATTCTCCTCCATCACCGTAACTCAAATGCATCGATTCTTCTACGGTCTTCCTTATTCACTGTCCAACTTTTGCATACATATGAGGTTATTGAAAATACCATGGCTTGGGTCAGGTGCACCTTAGTCCTCAAGCTGATGTCTTTGCTTTTCAACATTTTAAAAAGGTCTTGTGCAGCAGATTTGCCTAATCATTTGATTTCTTGACTGCTGCTTCCATGAATGTTGGTTTATCTGAACAAAATGAAATCTTTGACAACTTCATTCTTTTCTCCATTTACATAGATGTTGTGTATTGGTCCAGTAGTGAATATTTTTATTTTCTTTACATTGAGGTGTAACCCATACTAAAGGCTGTGGTTTTCTTTCTTTTTTTTTTTTTTATCTTCATCAGTAAGTATTTTAAGCCCTTTTCACCTTCAGCAAGCAAGGTTGTATCATCTGCATATCACAGGTTGTAAATGAGTCTTCCTCCAATCCTGATATCACATTTTTCTTCATATAACTCAGCTTCTCAAATTATTTGCTCAACATACAGATTGAATAAATATGCTGAAAGAATACCACTCTGGCCAGTCAGTGTCCGCTTGTTCTGTTTAAATGACTGCATCTTGGTGTACGTACAGTTCCTCATGAGCACAATTAAATATTTCAGAATACTCATTCTCTGAAATACTGTCCATAGCATGTCATGATCCATACAACTGAAAGCCTTTGTTTAATCAATAAGGCACAGATAAACATCTTTCTGGTATTCTCTGCTGTCAGCCAACATTCATCTGATGTCAGAAATGATGTCCCTAATTCCATGTCCTCTTCTGCATCCAGCTTGAACCTCTGGAAGTTCTATGTCAATGAATGATTGCAGCCATTTTTTGTATTATCTATAGAAAAATTTTACTTGCACGCACTATTAATGGTATTGTCCAAAGATTTCTGCATTCTGTTGGGTCACCTCTCTTTGGAATCGGCACAAAGATGGATCTTTTCTAATCAGTTGGCCAGGTAGTTGTCTTCCAAATTTCTTGGCAGAGATGAGTGAGTGCCTCCAGTGTTGCCTCACTTTCTTGAAAAAATTCAGTTTTTATCCCATCAATTTCTGGTGCCTTATTCTTTACCAGTGTCTTCTATGCACTTTGGACTTCTTCCTTCAAGATCACTGGTTCTTGATCATATGCTACCTCCTGAAATGTTTAAACATCGACCATTTCTTTTTGGTACCGTGACTCTATATATCCCATCCATCTTCTTTTGATATTTTCTGCATCATTCAATAATTTGTTCAGAGAATCCATCAAAATTGCTCATTGATGCTTGAATTTTTTCTTCAGTTTCCTCCGCTTGAGAAATGCGGAGTGTTTTCTTCTCTTTTGGTTTTCTAACTCCAGGTCTTTGCATGATTAATTATAACATTCCAATTTTGAAATTTTCTATTCAGTTCTTATTGTCCTTGTGTTGTTGTTAAGTGCCATCAAGTCGATTCCGACCCATAGCGACCCTGTATAGGGTTTCCAAGAAGCAGCTGGTGAGCTTGAACCACCAACCTTGCAGTTCAAATGACTTTGCACTCTGACACATTAGCCCACAGCACCACACCAGGACACCTTTATTGTCCTTTGTTGTTATTGTTAAGTGCTGTCGAGTCAGTGCTGACCCATAGCGACACTGTATAGGGTTTCCAAGGAGCAGCTGGTGAACTTGAACTGCTGACCTTGCAGTTCAAACAGATTTGCAGTCTGGAGCTTTAACCCACAGCGCCACACCCAGACTCCTTATTGTCCTTAGAGATTGTTAAATATTAATACAGATTACTTTCAAATCAAAGAGCAAAAGTCAGAGCCAGGAGAGATAAGCTAGCTTGGGCAGAGCTCAATGAAGTCTGTGGTTTGCACAATGTAAACTATTCATCACTGTCATTTGGCTCTAAACTCGTTCAGCATGGCCGGCCTTCTCCAAGCACATCAGAGGGCTTCCGCGGGGGTTTTCTTGTTAGCACTGTGGGGGGTGGTTGGAGGAGGCAAGCTGTTGGTTCTTCCTCTGGATGGGAGCCACTGGCTTAGCATGAAGGAGGTAGTTGAGCATCTCGGCAAGAGGGGGCATGACGTTGTGGTGTTGGTGCCAGAAGTCAATCTGTTCCTGAGTGACTCAAAATACTACACAAGAAGAACCTATGCAGTGCCCTATTCCCAGGACGAGATGAAGGACCGTATTCAAACCTTCGGAAACAACATCTTTGCTGAGAAATCTTTCCTGATCAATCCTATGGCTGAGTACAGGAATGTCATGCTTGTTGGTTCCCTTTTCTTCACCAACTGCGAGAGTCTTCTGAAGGACTCAGAGACTCTGCAGTTCCTCAGAGAGAGTAAGTTCGATGCTATTTTCACAGACCCAGCTTTCCTCTGTAGCATGATCCTGGCTGAGTACCTCGACCTGCCCTCCGTGTACTTCTTCCGGGGCATCCCAAGTGCCCTAGAGCAGATGTTCAGCGGAAGCCCCAACCCTGTGTCCTACATTCCCAGAGACTATACTCAGTTCACAGACCAGATGACTTTCTGCCAGCGGGTGATCAACTTTCTTGTTAATTTGTTGGAGGTCCCTTTTATTAAATTTATTAATTCAAAGTTTGAAGATATTGCCTCAGATCTCCTCAAGAGAGATGTGGACTTAATCACCTTAGGACAGAAAGGCTCCATCCATCTTTTAAGATACGACTTTGTGTTCCAGTACCCCAAGCCCATCATGCCCAACATGGTCTTCATTGGAGGGACCAACTGCAACAAGAGGGGACACTTAACTCAG